GGCTCCACATTAGGTGCTGCTGCATGGGCTCTAGGCTGAGCTTTGCCTCTGGCTCAACCTTGGCCCCAGCCTCTACCCCCGGTAATGGTTGCAATAGGGGGCTTCGGCTCTTGCCCGACTATAGATGTTGTGTGTGTTTTCACCATATGTGAGAGAACAAGAATGGAACGGTTCAAACATAAATAATAAAATAAAATCGCACGATAGGGAAAGAAAGAAGAGAAATTTTCCGAAAGCTCCATAACCTCTATAAGATAAGTACAGACATTTCCGTATTGATCCTCCAGACTCTACTAAGCTTGCTCATGACTAGTGAGACCTAAGCAACCTAGTGCTCTGATACCAACTTGTCACAACCCGAAATCCCACCCCTCGGGACCGTGATAGCGCCTAACATTTCACTTGCTAGGCAAGCCAACGTTAGCTAGATTATTTAACCAATTTTAACAATTCGAAACAAAATATTAATAAAATAAACTGAAATAGTCTAAGATGGAATAATAAAATACATAAGACGATATCTAATGTCACGACCCAAACTTGAGGGCCATGACTGGAACCCGGGCCAAACTTGCTGAGCACCAACGTACATTTTATCTAATCTTTCTTATTATCCATATGGGCCGACGAGATCAATATAATGGTAGACTTGAATCATGAACAACCAACAATGATAGATAATGGCATGAACATACGTAACATGGGCCGACAAGGTTGTCATGAAGCTATATATAAGGTGCGAGCCGACAAGCTGCCATGAGAGACTATAAAAAAGAAATTCGCCGACAAGGCTATCTAAACTATAAATGAGTCGAAGCCTATCTATGAGACTCTAAAGGAACATAAGTTCTGCAAAATTTCTGAAATAGGCCACCGACATACCCATAATGTCTATAACAAAAGTGCATACCAAGACCACGGCAAGTACGGAGAAGGGATCTTGTCAATAACCGTTAATCTGGGGAGCCTATTGCAGTGGGGGAGCTGCGCCTACCTGTCTATAAGGACCTACAACACGACATGCAGCGTCCACAAATAAAAGGGACATCAGTACAAATAAATTATCGAGTATGTAAGGCAGGAAAGCATAAATAAGAACAATAATGTAAGCAGGGATAGAGAATATACAACCTGTAACATCTGAGTACCTTTGAGGTCTACTTACATGAAATGCATGATATATATATATATATATATATAAATATATATATATATATATATATACATACATACATACATACATACATACATACATACATAAACTTTAAGAAACATATGCCTCTGTGGGCACCATCATCATCATATCGTACCCGACCATAATAGGCTCGATAAAAATGTACTCGACCATCATAAGGCTCGGTAGAATCGTACTTGGCTACGTAAAGCTCGATAAAACACAATTGATCAGTGTTTGCACAATACGTGATGTACCTGACCGACTATAGTGCAGCTCGGTTGAGTAAAATAGATACATATATATATATATATATGATACATGTTAGACTGATAGGAATCACATTCTGAACCTAAGACGTAAGGTCGGTATCCTCCGTACTCGTTATTAGGACTAACTCTTCATCAAGAATCTTATAAGAATCAGGAAGTACCAACAACATTGATAACAAAAGAATATGAGAAGCAATATCAACATCAATCGTTCCATTAGAAGGGAAACAATGTAAGTACTGTTAGCTTCTAAGAGTGGAGTATCTTTGGAAGCTCGTTCATTACATTATGTACAATCAGAGTCATGCAAAAGAAGGAAAGGGATAGCCTCACATACAATCAGAGTCATGTATATACTTTCGAACTATGCAAATATCACGACTACTTAGTCTACAATAAGAGAAATGATACTATTATTATCGTTCAAGCGTCGTAACTATTTTATATCGACCGCAACCTATTTTATGATGAAACCGACAACACCTCCCTTATTTATATGACTTCCCACAATTTAAAACAGTCACCAAATAGCCCAAGCAACATCAATAATAATTATATTAATCCTCCCAAAATAGTCCACCAACTAACACCATCACCAACAAGCCTTTCGATAGATATCTCACAAGTTCTAGCTTCAACAACTTAGCCATAACTTGGATAATCTTAAATATGTGTAGAGTAAGAGGTTACTTACCTTTAAAAAGATAGAAAAAGTCCAATTTGACCTTACTTCACCACGAAATATCCTTCCAATGGTGCCACAAGAACAAGAAAGCGAAACTAGCAATCAATTCGGGTTTTTCGGCACTAGAATCACTTTGGAAGAGTTGAAATCACCTAAGTTTGATATTAAAACCTTGAGAGAGTATTTTACTGAACTTAAACCACTTAAAACAACCTCCCACATGATCTGGAACCACACAAAAATTAGCAACAACAAGAAGAATAAGAAACTCACTAGCGCCACGGGATTCTCGACACTTGATTTGTGTTATTTGCCCTTTGTTTGGGACTTGGATCATGAGAGAACCTTGAGAGGAAATTTTTAGGTGTCTAGGGTCTGAAAAGAGTGAAAAAGAATGAGTTAAAATGGGCGTAAGGCATCTCATATATATTAACATATCTCAACCGCCTATGTGGGTTCCATAGAGAGCTGCTTGCAGAGTCTTGTAAATATACGAATAACTCTCTACTCCGATGTTGTATCAACAAAAGATTTAATGCGTTGGAATCTAGCCTCATAGTTATTCAATTTGGTGGGTAGATCACCCCGTAATTCCAAGTAAATTAGGAGAAAATATTAGTGATATTTGACCTAAAGTTTTAGTAAAATTATGAGCGTAAGTTGCGACAACTTTTGTCGACTTCTGTTTCATAACTCGTTTGACTTCAAGACTTGTGATATGGATATTATATGATTCAAATAACTTAAAACACGACCTCTTGATCATATTAAGCACCACTAGTTGCACCTAAAAATACGGGTTAAAACATCCTTGATTCGTGTAATTTTTAATACTTGTTAACCATTCTTATACGCCCTTGTATCATTTAAGACCAATAAGATTAACTTCTTATCATCTCAAAGATAATCTTTTCTCGGATTTACATCAACTAGATTGTGGAGTGATCTAATGTATGTGAATATGGGCTCTAACACCCTCCCCTCTTCTTGGGAAATTTGTCCTCGAATGTAAGGGTTTATGGGGAGTATAACTCATCATGGATTCCGGCGGAATTTTCTGGCTGAGTTTCCCCTATAAAATGGACACTAGCTAAACTTGCAAGCAATTAAATTCAACCTATGGCCTCAAAAGGCTAGACAAAGCATTATGGATATGTACATTATCTGCATATCACCATTTTGTATTAAGGAAGAGTATTCTCAAGCTATTGCTTACCTCATAGAGTCGTTTCAGCTTCCAGTGTGTCCTGCATTTCCTCGACATCCTCGTTATCTTCAATTTAGAGTAGGTAAGGGTATTTAGACTTCATCTCCTCTTCTGCTTCCCATGTTATTTCTTCCGTATTCTTGTTCCTCCACAATACGTTGACGAAAGCTACATCTTTTGTTCTTAGCTTGCGTACTTGTCGATCTAATATAGCCACTGACAATTCTTCATATGATATATCCTTCGTAACTTGTACATCTTTGATAGTGATGGCCCGAGAAGGGTCTCTAATACATTTCATCAACATAGATACATGGAATACCGAGTGGAGAAATTCCAATTGGGATGGCAATTCTAACTCATAAACAACTTGTCTAATTCGTCGAAGAATCTTGTACGACCCCATATACCGCGGACTCAGCTTACCCTTCTTCCCAAATGCATAACACCCTTCATCGGTGAGATTATCAAGAAAACCTAATCACCAACCTCAAACTCCATATCATGACGTTGGACATCAGGATAAGACTTTGCCTGCTTTGTGCCGTTCTTAATCATTCTTGTATCACTTTCACCTTCTTAATGGCTTGGTGAATCTAATCTGGCCCATATAATTTTGTTCAACGACTTCAAACCATCCAACTAGTGATCTTCATCTCCTCCCGCACAACGCCTCGTACGTTGCCATTCTAATACTAGAATGGTATCTATTATTGTAGGCGAATTCTATGAGTGACAGATGGTCATCCGAATTACTCTCGAAATTTAGAACACATGCTCATAGCATATCTTTGAGTGTCAGAATGGTACGTCCATCCCGTCCATCATTCTATTGATGGAATGTAGTGCTAAAATTCACTTGTGTGCCTAAACCCTTCTGAAAAGGGTCACGACCCAAACAGATGGGCCGTGACGGACACCCGGTACCTTACTCAATCGAGTACTAACGTATCTTTCATATCATTCTATCATAGGTAAATGAGCCGGAGTAAAGCATGAGGGAATACAAACTTATACATATGAAGTACGGGCTTATAAGACCAAAATAACCACTCGTGTACTGAACATGGGCCGACAAGGCCATACAATCTTTTACGTACATGATGTGAGCACCTAATTTTTACCCTGCATGAAAATAACTCCTAAAAATATGCCAAAAATAATTTTTAAGGGATTTTAGAAGTTTTTCTTTATTTTATTGTATTTCATGCATTTTTAATATTTTAAAAATCACAAGAAAATCATAAAAAATTATCACGTTTTAATTTCATACCATCTTAGGTTCAATTTTCATGTAGGAATTAATTTTATTAAGCAAAAAATCACAAAAAATGGTCATTTTTACATATTTAGATTTTAGTCTTTAAAATTAGCATTTTTCTTTAGTTTTAAGTTAATTAGTCGTTTTAATGTTAAAAATAAATAAAAAAATTTAATTTCTACAAAATAGATTAATTTAGGACTTAATTAATTTAATTAGTATTTTTAAAATTAAAGAAAAGAAAAAAAGAAAACAACGAAAGAAAAGGGGGATTAAACTATATTTGGGTCTAATTTCGGATATGGGCCAATTTGCAGGGCCCACTTCCCTCAAAGAATGCCCAACCTACCTCTATAACCTACCCAAACCCCTTACCCTTTAATAAAAACCTAGACCTTAGACAAATGAGATCAGATATTAGAGAAAAGAAAAATCAGATTCTCTCTTACAAAAAACGAAAACGGCGCATCTGAGTTCCGGTTCTTCTCCATTTTTTCCTTCTTCTTATCCATTCTCACTTTGGCTCTAATACACACTTCTCCTTAACACACACACACACACACCGCGTTGAAGCCTCTAGCAACAAGTGGGAATTACAAAGTTTAGAGCTAAAATTAAAAGATTGCAAAGCTGATTTTCAGTTTCAAATCCTTGTCTTCTCTCACATTTTTTGGGGATTTCAGAGCTTGGTGGAGCTTTAGAACTTGTTTTGAAGCTGAGAGATTGATATAAATTCCAGTCATTGTTTGATTCCGCTAATTTTTACTGTTTCTGGAATTGCTGAGCTCCAATTGGGTTGGTTTTCTATCTTTAGTCGATTTATTCAAGTTTTCTTTGTTTACCAAGTTAGTTTGAAACTTCTCTGTATTATTCTTTTAGTAAGTGATTAAATAGTTGATTTCCTGCTTAGCATTGAAGATCTTGTGTTATTTTCATGAAACATGATGCCTATTGAATTAATTTGGTCACCTGCTACGTTTTTTTTCATTAATACAAGCTTTAATCCTTAGGTTTGTGTAAATAGTGTAATAATTTCATTAATCGACTATGAGGATTGATTTTATTATTTACTCTACATACATCGCTTACAGGATGGCAGCTCCTTCCCTTATGCCCCTCAGAAAAGCAAGAACTACTGCTAAATCAGAAGGAGTGTATAGGACTAGAGTCTGGTCTTTTAGCATTTAACCCTTTTATGCCAATGATTTTGATGTTCAAAAAGCAATTACACGAAGGAGGTTTTTCTTAAACAGATTTTTGAGTGGAATACGTAGTGAGATATATATAGAAAGAAAATTTGTGTATCTTAAACACATTTGAAAAATATTTGTAATATCCGTTGTTCATATCTTCTACTGCTTATTGCTACTCGAAGAGGGTAAATAAAAATATTCTTGTTGGTATATTAGGGTAATTTGATATTAGTTGCAAAGACATTACGTCTTGCATTCAGAGATTTCAAATTACGCTCCAAGCATGCTTGTTAACAGAGAAAGAGCAGAATATAATTAATAAGATATTGGATGGTAAATCTCTAATTTTTGAAATTGCAGTATGTATCGAGGAAACTCTATTTCCTTCTTGAAAATTGCAGCAGTTCAAATGTAAATAATGCAATTGCAGCATTTAAGCATTCCATTCTTTTAGCTGTCGTGACCAAGTCTTAGCAACTTTGTCTTTGTGATATGATTTGTACTTCTGAAAGTTCCTAACTGACAGAACAATTTAAACATCCATTCAAGTACATATTTTTAATGCATAAGGAAGGTGAGTTTTACCTACAAGCTGTATGGAGCATTCTTGAACTAGTTAGGCGTAAATTTCATTTGCTTGCCTATGTGAAGTTTGATGAGGCTTCTTATTTGTTGCAGATTTTTCACCCAGTGGAACCAAATAATGAAACTTCTTATTAGTTTACTAGCTTATTTTTTTGAGATTTAAGGCAGAGCTTATTGTAATTCAACTTCTTTGTAGATATTAATTAATGGACATCGTAGCTTGCATTAGGCGTGATTAAATAAATCATCACAACTACGGGTATGGTTCCCGTGGCGTAGTTGTAATACCTAATTTCAAATTAGATTTAAATAGGAGCATCCTTAGTTTGCTTTAGTGAAATACAAATCTTTTAAAGATAAATCGAGGTGTGCCGTTCACAATTGAATCACATAATCTATGGCCCTCACACTAATATTATAACTTAGTGTAGAAAATATTTTGAACATTCGTAGTTTGCTTTAGGCGCGTTTATAACAAAATCCTCATAGCAACGGGTACAGTTTCCATGACGTAGTTGTGATACCTAATTTTCAAATCCGGTGTACATTTATGTGACCCGTCCATAACTTCTAATAACTTTAATAAATTAAGCATGTTGTAGATCATGGGTACGATTCTCGTGACATGGTCCGCAATGTGTATCAAACAAACAAGTGTACGACAATCGTAACTTATTCTAGAATAATCCCATAAAATAATTAAAAGCGGTTATAGAGTTTAAAAATATACACTAGGTTTAAAACGTATAATAAATCAGATAATAAGCCAATTATTAATAGTTTAAGCAACCGTGCTAGAACCACGAAATCTGGAAATGCCTAACACCTTCTCCCGGGTTAACAAAATTCCTTACTTAGAATTTCTGGTTCACACACTTTTAAAATAAAGTCGAAATTTTCTCAATTTGGAATTTAAAATAAACCTGTGACTTGGGACACCAAATAAACTATTCCAAGTGGTGACTCTGAAAATTAAATAAAATAATCCCATTTCGAATAATATTACTTAAATTGGAAAACCCCCCTTATATACACCCCTCGGGTGGTAAAAAGGAGGTGTGATAGCTCTGCTATGCTAGGGATCAAAACCCAAAACTTCGGTTCAAGATTCAAGAATTCGAGCTTAGAATAACTGTTATAATTGACTTTTATTTTTTATCTGATTTTTATTACATGTTTGGGCCTAATGTGCTAAATGTCGCTTTTTACCGCTTTCATATTATTTGAACTGTATATAAACTGTTACGAAACCCTTCTCTTCTCATCTTCGGGGATGTGCACGCTGGCGTGACTCCTTTTTCTGTTAGTGTCATACCTTGAATTAGAAAGAGGCTCGGACAAGTTACAAATTCGGATGCCTTTTGGTTCCCGGTACGTAGCCCTCCCCCCTCCCCCCGGCTCGAGTTGTCCGCTGGGGTACACCAAGTCTAGAACAATATACCCAGGTTTTAAACCTAGAATAACGTAGCCTCATGCCGGATCCCTAGTAGGAACGTTTATTTGCATCACGTGCATTTGACCTTGGGGACTCAACATAGGGGTTGGGTCCGTCTAGGACAGGTGAATCCAAAAATTAAAACACTATCCTGATGCATCTTATGTGCTACTTGCGCATCTGTTTGATTCAGCTTGCATGTTGACCAACTTCTAGAATAGGTAAAGAATCAAAAAAAAAATAAGAGTGAGAGATAGGTATTTGAAGTTCTGAAACTTTGCCGAAATTATGGAAAAAGAAAAAGAAAAAGAAAAGCCAATTTTTTCAAAAATTCATGTTTCCTCTGTTCCGTCAAAATTGACCGAACTATGCGGGTCTGATTCTCACCGGATGTGAGATACGTAGGCAAACCTCATCGATTCCAACCCCAATTTTCAAAAATCCAAAAATATTTTTCTTTAGTTCCTTCTTTAGAAATCTTTCCTTAGAAAATTCAAAAAAAAGAAGTTTTTTTAAACTCAAAAAAAAGTACTTTCCTTCTTTTTGAAGTCTTTCATGGAAAAATGAAATAAAAAAATTCAAAATCCAAAATACGGGTTTCCTTCATTTTGAAGTATTTTCCCAAAAAGAAATCCCAAAAAATAAAATCAGAAACAAAAATCCAAAATATTCTTTTCTTCTTTAGAAGTCTTTCTTTTGTAAATTTCCATAAAAATTGAGAAATAAAAGTCCTAAAATATTTTCGCTTTTCTTTAAAAGTACTTTCGTAAATTAAAAAAGAGAAAGAAAAAAAAGGAAAGAAGAGAAACTCAGAAATCCGATATGTTTTCTTAAAAGTCCTTCTTTCGAAAATCCATAAGTCAAATCAAAATTCAAAACAAATATATATTTTTCTACATTTTTAGAAGTCTTTTCCCAAAATTAAAAAAAAAATCAGGAAAAAAAGAATTAATTTTTTTTTCTTGTTTAAAAGTTCTTTCTTTCAAAAATATTTTTTAAAAATTGAAGTCCAAAATTATTTTTATTTTTCTTTAGAAGTACTTTTGTAAATTTTAAAAACAAAAAAAAACTCAGAAATCCAAAATATTTTCTTAAAAGTCCCTCTTTCGAAAATTAATAGGCAACATTCAAAATCCAAAAAATATTTCTTTCTTCTTTAGAAAAAGAGAAAACAAATGAAAATTCAAACAAAAATATCTTCCTTTTATTTTGAAATTCCCAAAGTTCAAATCAAAAGAAAAGGAATTTTTAGAAGTCTTTCTTTCAAAAAATAAAAATAAAATCAAAATCAAAGATCCAAAAAGAAATATTTCCTTTCTTCTTTGAAAACATTTCTTTCAAAAATTCCAAAAAAACAAACATAAAAAACATAAAAAACAAAAAAAATAAAAAAAAATATTTTTCTTTTTCTTAAAGCTTTCATGGTCTGACTTTTATAAAAGTAAACAAAAAAAAGAGTTTTACTCCATTCTTAATTTTCCCGAACTACGCAAGATCTGATTCATGCGGCGTCATGATACGTAGGCAATCCCCATCAGATTCGATCATAGCCATAAAATTAATTGAGTGAAAAATAAACGTGAAAAAAAAGAAAAGAGTGAAAAAAAGAAGAAGAAGAGAGTGACATAAAATAAAAGTGACAGAAACACAAAAAAAAGAGAAAAAAAAAGAGTGCCAAAAATAAAAAGCCGCAGAAACGAAATGAAAAAAAAAGTGATTAAAGAGAGGTAAAAATAAAAGGAAAGAGGTACATGCTGAAAGAGTCAGTTAAGGCCGGGATGAAACATGCAACCGTTCAAACACATGGTAGAAGCGTTTAACTGTTAGGTGCATTGCATCCCAATGTGCGATTTCCTATATATTAAATGTCTCAAAACTAACAAGGTTGTTGGGTGTACAAATTAGTCAGGTTTTGGTGGTTGGTTTTGTTGGTAGTCTAGCCTCCCCTCCTTCGCAAGATCCAAAGGCACAGATGGCCACTGCGAGCAATCTACCAATCATCAGTCCTAAGGATAGCCCGGCATTGGCTATTCTGCAGCTAGAATCAGCTGCTGCTCAATAGAATAAGATATCGCGTCTCTGCATATTGAAAATATGGGATGCTTGGTCTAATGGTAGGGAACTGCCAAGTGCAATCCCTGGGTTCCCTGAGTTGATCCCAAGGTCAGGTGAGGTTACCAACGCCCATGTGCCCAACCTGCTCATCCTATACGGGCACCCTCCAATGCCGTCCAATATTCCTGGCATCCCTTCTGTGGTTCGCCCCCAGGCGCCAGTTTCCAGGGCACCTCCAATATTGTTTTCTGCAGCACCAGTCTGCACCAGAATACAACCAACTTCACCATGGCCGTGTATTGAGCCTCCAATGTTCACCTTTCAGGGTCCATAGCTTCAATCAGAAATAACATATGTGACCTCGTGCTCTTTCACTCAACCTCTGCAATATGATCTCTCGGAGGAGCAAGAAAAGGTTGTTAACAATCCTAAGCAAGAGGAAATGACTCGGAAGATGAAGAGCTTGGAACAAAACCTGAAAAACATGCAGGGTCTGGATGGCCAAAAGAGTGTCTCATACTCCGACCTCTGTATGTTTCCCCATGTCCACTTGCCAGCTGGCTTCAAGATGCCAAAATTTGAAAAATATGATGGGCACGGAGACCCGGTCGCTCATCTGAAACGAAAATGTAACCAGCTGAGAGGCGCTATTGGAAAAGAGGAACTTCTAATGGCCTATTTTAGGGAAAGCCTCTCTGGAATTACTTCTGAGTGGTATACGGATCAAGAAATTACCCATTGGCTTGTGTGGGGCGACATGGATCGAGATTTTGTTCGCTAGTTCCAATATAATATGGCATCGCTCTCGATAGAAACTCTTTGTCCAATTTGAAAAAGAAAACCGCAGAAAGCTTCCGCGAATATGCTGTCAAATGGCGTGAGCAAGCTGCCAGGGTAAAGCCTCCAATGGATGAAATTGAAATGGTTACGGTCTTTCTACAGGCCCAAGAGGCAGACTACTTCCAGAACATGATGCCAGCTATGGGAAAGCCTTTTGCTGAGGCTATCAAAATTGGGGAGATGATAGAAAGTGGGCTAAAAACGGGTCGAATCTTGAGTCTGTTGCTTTTAAAGCCACATCACCAGATGTTCAAAATGGTTCAGAGGATTTGATAAATGAAATGGGAGAGAAGAAGTAGCCATGATGGCCTCCAGCTCGAGGGGGCCTGTAGGCCATTCATCCAATCATATATGCTTCCCGAGGTCCCTCAATATTATTATCCCCTTCAAGATGTTGCTTATGTCGTGGCACTGCCTCCTTATGTGGTGATGAACGTGC